CCCCCCCCTGCGCCCCCCTCGCTTCAGCGGGCGAGCCGCCTCGGAGCGGCCGGGGAGGAACCTCAGCCGCGGCGGGGAGCAGCGCGCTTTGCGGAAGGGGTCAAATGTCTGAAATATGGCGGAGGAAGTGAGCGCCCGAGGAACCCCCAGCCGCCGCCCGCGGCACCGCAGCCTTCCCCGCCGCGCCCCTATCCCCGATCCCCGCCGCGGGGTGGGTGGAAGTTAGAACGGAAACCAGAAAGTTGTCCTTTGCGGACACCCGGGGTTTCTCCCAGCTCTGACCCGGGCGGAGTAGCGTTGATGGGGGTTGGGGGGGGGGGGACCACTCCCCGGCGCCCCGCGGGCTCGAGCCTGACAGAGAAAAAGTTTGCCCGGCTCGGGGCTGACTTACTTCATTTGTTGCGGGAAGTGGCAGAAGGAAGGCAAGGGAGCGAGCCCCACCTAGTCTGGCAGCCGCCACCGTGTAGAGACAGAGAAAAAAAATGTTAAAGGGGCCTTTCCCTTCGTCAGCAAGAGGAAATCTCTCTTCTCTCTTGCAGAGAGAAAATCCAGGAAGTCTGTCCTCTTCTCCTTTTTTCGCCATCTCGATATGTCTGATTCTGAAACTGACTTATCAGCGCCCTGAATTTTCTTTGAAACTACTCCCAGGGAACTGGGCCCTCCGAATTTTCCATGGGGTGGAGGGAGAAAGATCTTCCCTTCAGAGTTTGAGCGGATGGGCTTGCTTTCCTTTCGCTTGCCCCCTCCCACCCTCCCATACTTTAGAAAGACATTTTGGCCCCGCGACTCCTGACTGGTGTCAATACAAGCACTTCTTTATTACAGAAGTAGGAAATCGCATTTTTACTGAGTTGAAAGTTGACATTATGGTGAAGGCTGGACTGTTAATATTTTAAATTAATATTTAAATTATTGAATGTTTGCTTTGCTGGCAGTGTGTATTGATATAGACCGAGTGCTTCTAACTTGTGAATTCATTTTTTTCAGTTTTCTTTTGTATAATTATAACGTTGTTGAGTCTTGCTTAAAAGGAATTTATCTTAGCAAGAAGTAACTTAATTGAATGGAGAAATTCTTCTCGTTTAAAGCTCTTATTATTCTAAGAGCTAACTTGGAATCTATGTCCTTATAGAGTCATGGGACTTATAGAGTCCTTATAGAGTCATGGGACTTTTTAAGGGCTGGACAGGGACTATTTAAATCTGGTCCCACCCTGTCATTTTGTGGAGGAGGAAACTGAGGCCTAGAACAGGTAAGATAACCTAAGTCTGCTGATTTGTTAGGCAGTGGTCTATCCATAATAAAAGAACCCACAGGACAAAATGTGGCATGCAATGGTGAGTTACATCTTGCAAATCTTTTTAGTCCTATTATCCGTTCCTCTCCAAGACAGAGCGTCTTGATTAGCTAAGTGTGGATAATGGCGTGGGTGGTGTCATCCCCAGGTTTGGGTTAGAGGAAGTTGATACTCTGGGGAGGAAATAATTTTTACTTAAAGACATGGACTCCCTAATGACTGTCTTGTTTGAGCTTATCCACACTTTTAATCTCTGTAGTGCATTATGTTCCCTTGTACTCTCATGTTGACGTTCTCAGTAGTTTAATAACCTTATCTGTGGAAGCCACAAAGTAAATTGCTGAAGGACATAAAGCTGTTTGGGTTTAGTGTGCCTGGTGTCAGAAGACTGCTGAAGGACCCAGTGCTAAACTGGCTTAGTTTTTAGTCTGTAGTCCGGAGCACGGACTTGACTGCCACCTCTTTCCCCTTTTTCTAACTTATCACTCTTCCTCTCAGTGGTTTGTATCACTTCCTACCTCCTGTTACTGCTGTATATTTTTATCTATTCTACTAAACTGTAAAGTCCAAGGACAGGATATAGTCTTCTGTGTGCCTCAAATGACTATCGTGTTGCTGTTACATAGATTCTCTCAATGGAAGTTAAGTGGAATTAAATGAAAACACCACAAAGATAGGAATTAATTCTGTCGTATTCTTAGTTCCTTGGATTTTACCTGAGCACTAGTGATGTTCGGGACTTAAATTTAGAGGTTAATGGAAAATTCAAAGAGACTGAAGAGCACAGTGTAACTTTGAAAAAGAATTACTTGTACATTTTGTTTGGGCTCACGCACTTTACAAATTGATCATCATTTTATCATTGGTCATTTATGATGATTCCAGTGTTTCCTTTTGACCTACACAGAGAGAGTGAGCCCTCCCTCCTGAGCCTGTTTGCAGCTGTAATCCCAGCAGTTCAGAGGTTGAGGCAGGATGATTGCCATACATTAAAGGCTAGCCTGTACTAAGGAAACCTCTCTATAAGTAAATACATAAATAACTTAATCCACATTTATGGAGATCTTTGAAAGACTTTGCCTATGCAGAGATTGATGACATATACATGCTGTTTTAAGTGTAAAGTCTAAAATTGGGATGGAAATCTCATGTTTAGCTTTCTTTGCTTTTTGTTTAGGCACTTTGATAAATGTATTGGATGAAATTAACCTGTGAAATTAGATCTGAGAAAACTTAGCTGAGTTTTACTTCTCTCCTCCCCCAAAGTGTGTGGTTTGCATTTGACGTTTTATTGTTGACTGTCAAGGAGATGTTACTGACTTCACGTGTCATGCTGTAAATATATTTTCAGGGGTAGATGTTAATATATAATGTTTAGATTTGAACTGCTGCAAGGTTAGTTTAGCGTTTCTGCTCTAAATAGCCAGTGGCTATTTCTCTATAGCAATAATGTCATGTCATCACTGTAAAGTCTGTATAAATCCATCTTTCTGCTGGGGATGTGACTTGGAGTGTCCAAGTTGCTAGGTCCAATCTCTCACTGAAAATAGCAATTACTCTTCAGTTGTCCGAGGCTTGTCGTAACTAAATACTTTTGTGTTTTTTGATTTGGTTTATCTATGAAGGATGTGTGTGTTGTTTTGTTTCTATATTTGTTTTCTTTGTTTTCTCACTTTTGTGGACATAGATTAGGCCGACGTTTGTGCTATTTGTCTTTTCAAACTGAACTTTTTAAAATAAGAACAATGTCTTAAAAGGTGGCTTGATGCATTGTAATACTAGACAAAATTTTTATTTAGCATTGTGCTGTCTCTTATACTGAAAGTTAATCTTTTCAGTACTTATAGATATTTTGTACTAGTGTTGAGAGTTGAAGTCTTGAAATTAGTTCTTTAGAAATCTCAAGGATACGGTGGACGCAGTAACAACAAAGAGTAGAATGAAGGGCTGGAGATGGCCCAGGGGTCATCTGAATTGGATTCCCAAGCTCCTGTATCGGCTACCTCTCGACCACCTGTACCTCTAGCTGCTGGGGCTCCAACAGCCTCCCTTCTGGACTCACAGGTGCCCACCTGCCAGTGTACTTGCTCACACACCTAAGGTCAGGCACACACACAGAAGAAAAAGAGAAGCTAGGCGGAACTTAGTCATTTATAGTAAAAGTGTGACTTGCTTTATAATCTGTTGTCCTTTGTGTGAACTCACTTGACTGGATTCTAAGATCAGTACTTTAGCAGTAGAGTTTCTAGTTTGTAAAGTTAATCAGGATTTTTTTTTGCCACCTTAAAATAACAGAATTTTAGAATTCATGAAGATAAAGGATGTTACATATTTCCCACACTTCACGAGCACTGCTGTGCTTACTCCTAATGTTCAGATTGAGGGTACACAGCAGCTTATTAAGTTTCCAGAGAGTCCTAAAACTTACAAAGAAAGAAATGAAAATTTAAGGGTATATGGTTTTAAAATTGCATTTAAATTCTCTAAGAATATTTGCAACACACAAATTGCAAAATTTCATTCTTGTTTTTATTAACCAAAAGGATAATAATATTCTGGAATATCATTTATTGTACTTAAAATTGGTTCCATTCAAGGTGCTTAAATAGTGGACACACATTCATTTCTAGGTGATGGGTATCATTCTCTAACTACAGCCTGAGTTTGACTTTTTACTGATTCCTAAGGCTTCTAGGTGTTAACTAGTGTTTCATATCTTTATAGTAACTTTATAGGTAATTGCTGGGTGAACTGTTTCAGGGATTGCGGTTACAGATAGATTAGCCTGCTGGGGACGTTAGAGGGAGAGCGCACCTGTTACAAGCATCACAAGATCTAAAATTTATCCCAGCAACTATATATTTACAAAACTTGTTTTTTTCCAACTGTGTGTAGTGGTCTGTACCTGTATTTGAGGAGGCCACAGGAAGGGCAATCCTTCTGTCAGCCTTTGCTGCACAGCAAATTCCAGGCTAACCTGGGCTACATTAGACTGTCTCTGTGCATGTTTTCCTTTACTTCAGCCATAACTATTTTAAAAGTAAAAAGGGAATTGATCTCCTCACTGGTGGGCTATCTCTCCCGCCTGTGGTTTTCCTTGTTGTCTTGTACGATAGGAAAAAATAGGAAAGCCATGTTCTGTCCACTTACAGTTTCAAGTGGACTTGGGGCAGACATAGGAAGTAGTAGCTACAATTGGGCTCTAATTGCCTGTCTTCTGAAGTTTATCCTCACACATAAGAATATATTTTTCATAGTCATCATCATCACTTTTGAATGTGGAGGACTCAAACCTAGGGCTTTGCATGTTGGAGAAACTACTACAGAGCTACATCCCCTGCCCTTTGGAATCACTTTGTAGTAAATTCAGGGATTCTCTAAGCTAATAAAATTACAGGTCTTGGTAAAAAAAAAGGAACAATATAGACACAAACCACTACTGTGTTACTGATACAACATCTGTGATTTTTAGGTAATGAATTAACTTCTCAGTGATACAGCTCTGGCATCTCTGCCGTACAGGTAGAAAGGGGTCAGGACAAGGTCTGTGTGGACTACTCTTAGAGTGCCTCTAAATTGGAGATGCTGCACATTTGGTAGTGCTAAGATTGGCTTTACAGGTTTTGTTACAGTATTTGCAATACAGAGGATAAGAACAACAACATGGTATACAATCTCTGCACTGCTCCTGTGCTCTGGGGAAACTCGCCATTCCTCTCTGAGGCTCTCTTCTCCCTTGCTTCCCCTTGGCAAGATGACGTAGATGTCGGACTTGAGGGTTGAGTAAAGTCTCATTTGTAAATGTTTTATAAATCATAGGACACACTTGTGTCATACAAATTCTTCAGGGCATCTGTTCTCTAGTATTAAGATTTTCTAAGAGATCTGAGTGAAGGGTTGTGGAGCCATTGTTTTGCTTTTGAGAAAGGGTCTTACTGTCCTCAAACTTGCCGTCCTCCTGCTTCAGCTTTGAGGTGGCCGAGATGACATGTGCATCCCAGACTTGAGGGACTTTCAGTAGGAATCGTTTAGCTCAGTGGCTCTCAAAGTATGATCCAAGGGACTCTCCAGATCTGTAGATGTGCTTGGGGAGTCGGCAGGAACAAAGCTGTTAGTTATATTAATAATGCAAAGACATCCTTTGCCCTTTTTACTGTATTGACATTTGTTTCTATGATGCAAGACCAGTGGCAAGCACTGCTGGAGGGAAGTATCCTTCACTGCCCTGACTGTTTAAAAGGAAGAAAAAAGTTCCACCTAAATGTTCTTTATGTTCTAAAGATGAATTAGGTCTTCCTTCCTAATTCATCTTGTACAGGTCTTTTTAATATGGCAAATAGAATGTTTGAAACATGATGGCTTCCTACTGAAGCTTGTGATTGTCCCCAAGAAAAGTAACTCTAACGAGCCAAACCAGTTACTTGCTTTTAGATTAACTTTTATTATGTTTTACCTGCATGTTTGTGTGCAGGCTGCCCTCAGAAGTCAGAAGCGGGTGGGTCTTCTGGAACTGGAACTGTAGCAGGTTGGTTGTGAGCTGCCACCTGGGTTTTGGGAATTGAACCTGGGTCCTCTGCAAGAGCAGTAAGTGCTTTTACTGCTGAGCCATCTCTGCCGTTCCCAGAACCACTCACATTTTTTTTCTTTTCCGAGACAGGGTTTCTCTGTAACTTTGAAGCCTGTCCTGGAACTAACTCTTGTAGACTAGGTCGGCCTCAAACTCACAGAGATCCTCCTGCCTCTGCCTCCTGAGTGCTGGGATTAAAGGCATGCACCACCAACGCTCAGCAACCACTCACTTTTTAAAGGAAAAAGTTTGGCTTGAAAAAAAAATTCCTCATCACAGGAGACAGTCCAGCTGAGAGTTAGGTACAACTTATCTTAAAGCCCAAAGTCTTGACCTACATCTTATATTGTGGAAAATTAAATATGAAACTTTGAATTAAAAAAAAAAGAATGCCTGTATTCTGGGCATTGATGGCACATGCCTTTAATACCAGCAGGCAGGTGGATCTCTTGAGTTCCAGGCCAGCCTGGTCTATATATATATGAGCTCCAATATAGCTAGGGCTGTTAAGCAGAGAGAGAGGAAAAAAAAAAACCCATCTAAAAAAAGAAAAGAAAAGAAAAAGGAAGAAAAGAACAAAAAAGGAATGCTTGATAAATATTCAAATTCAGAATTAGTATTAAGCTTTTTTAAAAGATTTTAATTGTTTTGTGTGTCTGATGTCTGTGTACCACATGTGTACAGTGCCCATGGTGGCCAGAAGAGGGCACCTGAGACTGAAGTCACAAACCAGTCTGGGTGCTGGGAATTGAAGCCCAGTCCTCTGGAAGGACAGCAGTGCAAGTGACCAGCGCTAGATACCATGAGAAGTCTTGAGTGCTGTGGCCTTGTGTCTGAATCCTTGCTGATACAGAATTGGGTTAGATGTAGTTTCTTTGCAGGCTTCTCTAGGTAGTCCATTATCTTTGATCACATAAATTTAGATAATTATTTGGTATGTCCAAATTACCTTTTGGAAAAATGCTGGTTCTTTTTCCTGTTCACTTAAGAACAATTGTAGCAATCTTGTTAAACAGTGAAAAATTTTAGATTTTTAGAGTAGCCTAGATCAAGCTCTATTAGCTAGTTTCAGATCGTGAAAGTAGGTAGAAAGGTGGGTGAGTGCTCCGTGAGCCAGTCTTCTTAACCAAAGGTCTAAGATAGAAGGATCCAGATATCCAGAATCTTCAACTCTCATCTTAGAGTGGAAGGACAGAGGATGTCCTTGATTTGTAGCCAGTTGACTACTGACTAGTAAGGTGGGCTAGCCTGGGAAGGTTACACATAGAAGATCCTGACCTCTTGCAGTCTATTTAAACTACAAAGGAACAGACTGGGCTATTCTACAATGCTTTCACAGAAAGTGGTATCTTATTTTTTTCCACATGAATAACCTTGCCAATGCAAGGCCTCAAAAAAAAAAAAAACTGATTAATAGGGCAGCAAGATGGTTAAAGCACCGTCTACCAAGCCTGATGACTAAGAGACTTAGAGCCCATGTGGTGGGAGGAGAGCACTGATTCCTATAAGTTGTCCTTAGACCTTCACATGTGCACATGCGCATAAATACACACAAATTAGAATTTAGTAAAAGGTGCTCAGCTGATATGTCTGGATATTGTTCTTGTAGAGGGACCTAGCAGCTGCCTGTGACTCCAGCTTCAGAGACCTGATGATTTGGCCTGGTCCTCAGACACAGCACTCATGTGCAATACTTCCTCACCACAGACACATAACTAAAAAATAAATTGGTTAAAAACCCTGCCTTGTTCCTTTCCCCGAAACCTTTAGTAGAAGGCAGGTTTACATGATCTGAAGAGAAACCAAGCTATTGAACAGCACTCTTTAAAAGGGTGGGGTTGGCTTAGAGAAGGAATGGGTGTGTGGTGCCCACTTCAGGGGTAAAGTGCTAAAGGACTTCTGCCTCCAGCGGGGGAGGAAAGTTCGAGGAGCTTTGGTGCTTCTCGAATTAAGTAATTAACTGCTCAGCTGTTCTAACGGTTCTGAACTAGGGAACATACTGAGATCATATTTTATAGCCAGGACGTCCAAATTCATCTCAGGTTGCCACTAAATACTGTTCATGCACTTATAGTTATTAACTAAAAACTGAGTAAAATTTCCTCCATTTTTAGCTAGCTTTTATGTATTTTTGGTTTTCTCCCCATGAGCTCCCTCACTTGGATCAAAGGTTTTAAGTGGCTTTTTTGTTTTGGGTGTGTGTGTGTGTGTGTGTGTGCTGTTTACTTTGTTTTTGAGGTTTGAGGCAGACTGGCCTTAAACTGAAAATCCCCTGCCTCAGATTCCTGATGGAATTACAGCTGTGTACCATCACGGAAGGCCTTTTGCCAGCTTATAATGACAGAAAAAGAATTTATACTATTTCTCTGGGGTGTGAAATATTACTGTTTTGGTCGTTTTGTTTTGGGATGATAAGAGACTTTACTGACCTTGAATTTATGGCTGTCCTGCCTCAGCCTCCTGAGTGCTGAGGTTACGGATGTGTGTCATTGAGAAGAAAATGATGGTGTTGATATTAGCCGGGAAGGGCAGGAGAGGGGGGATGGAGTGCTAGGAGAGCAGGGTACAGAAGGCTTGTGGTGTGAGCGGGCGGGGCTGCTCTGCCTCAGTAGAGGTGTAGAGTTGCTTGTGAAGCCTGCGCTGCTTGACTTCCCACCGAGGGTCCTGTGCAGATAGGAACTCTGCCGCCTAAGAAGATGGTGTTGAGTTTATCGCTGCACAGTAGAGTTGGCAGTGCGTTTGCTCCCCAGCAGAACCTCCTGGACATAAACACCCAGGTGTCCACATTGTCCTTTATGTTTTAGCTGATTCCTTGGAGTATAAGGATAAATCAGAGAAATTACATACTTCTGTTTTTGTTTATTAAGACTATGTCTCACTGTGTAGCCAAAGCCCAGGCTGATCTCCAACTTGTCATCCTCCTGCCTGAGCCCATTCGTCATCATTGCCCCCAGTGCTGCCGTCACAGAAGTGTTATGTGTCTTAGATACTTGTCAACCTTTGGTTCTGTCATTTGTTTTTATTGTTATAGTTTTGGGTTGTGGTCGATTTTATGTTTGGTTTGAGATAGGACCTTATTCTATAGGCCAGGCTGCCCTTCAACTCTTCAGTTTACCTGCCATGTGCATTCCTATGGACTTGGCTGCTGTGGTTTAGTGGTATTGATGTTGATTTGTATGAGGTTTCAGGTCTCTTGGAACTATAAATGTTGTTGACCCTTCTCTGGGAGCTTATTTTTCACTTAGGCCTTTTCTGGGCTCTCAAAGGGTTTTAATGTAGACCAGATCTAATCTTTTGTTTTAATATTTATTTATATGTATGTGCCTGTGTGTATATGTGTGAACCATGTGTGTGCAGGTACCGGAGATGTCAGAAGACGGGTGGGGGAGGGGGGAAGCAGAGTCCTTTGAGTGGAATTACAGACAGTTGTGAGCCACCCAATGTAGATGCTAGAACTTGGGTCCTCTGCTAGAGTAATAATGCCTGGCTTTTAACTGCTGAGCCATCTCTCTAGCCCTCCATTTTAAAAGCTTTTAATTGGGGAGAAAGGTGTATATAAAGAATTTAATGATTTGTCTTTTTTGAGGACCATCATAAGGTACTTCTTGCACTCCGTTTTATCTGATTGTTCAACTATGTTTGATGTTGTTTCTAAGACAGTCTCTCATTATGTATCCTTGGGTGGACCTCACTACGTGAACCAGGCTGACCTTGAACTCACAGAGCTCCTCTTCAGCTTCCTCAGTTCTGGGGTTAAAAGTGCATATTGCCACGCCCAGCTTGGACGCCTTATTTCCACGTATCTGACTGCGTGTTATTGAGAGCTGATTATCCACAGTTTTTGCGTGTTAGTATTGAAGTAAATAATTTTACAGAGAAGGTTTTAGCAAAGGTAGAATATTAATCACGAAAATGTTAACAAATACCCAGTTAGTAATACAAGTGTTGTTGGAGCCAGAATTGGCAGGTCTTAGCTGTTATAGCTAGAGAAGATGGTAGAGATGAAGAGGAATTACGCATAGTATTATCAGGTGGGTAGGTTTTAGATTAGTAGTGAGCCACAGTGAGCAACAATACAGAGTTCCTCCAACAGGCTTTTTCTGGTGGGTGTTTGTGAAATGGACAGTAGGATCCAACAAGACAGCCTGACTCCTGAAAGTTGTCCTCTGGCTCCATACCCAGACACAGTAGTAGTCCAAAGCAAATGAACTGGTTAGATGCTGCCCTGCTCTAATAGACTCTGAAATGGATTGTAAGACGATACTAACCTTCCCCTATAGCCCTGTTGGTAGGTCTCTTCACACTCAGACGTGGGTGTTTGTTTTCTAGTGCGGTGAGGATGATAAAGCACTGTCCGTATGAGGCATGAGCAGTCACACTAAACGGGTTCAATAAAACACAGAAATAGACTCGCTCCAGCGTTCAGGTAAGTGTAAGGAATTTATAACAAACCAGGTTTTCCACTGGATCAGATATAAGACTCAGTATTCATTAGATTATTTACAGATTCAGAATTTTTTAAGATGGCTTAGAAAGTTTTTGTTAGTAATGTCTTCTCTGAGAAAGACATCAGAATATGGAACTGTTACTTCCAGGCAACTGAAACAGTCTGTTGGAAACTCTGGCTGACTAGAAGTCAGTGATGGGTGTCTTCCTCCGTCCCTCTCCAGAGAGAAAACCACAGGGTGCTCCTGCCTCAGGGAGGACCCATATGGAGGAAGGTGAGAACCGACTTCTCCCTAAAGTTGTTCTCTGACCTCCACATGTAACTCTTGTTGTGTGTGCTCTTGAGGTGCAGTGCGTGCGCACACACACACACAAAATGTAAGTGTAGTAGAAGAATTTTTCTTAGATCCCCGATGTGGGGCTGGAGAAATGGCTTGGCAGTTAAAAGTGCTTGTTGCTCTTATTAAAGGACCCATATTCAATTCCCAGTACCACATGATAGTTTGCAACCATTGGTAACTAATTCCAGGGCATCCGATATCCTTTTCTGACCCCTTTGGGCACCAGACATGCAGGTGGTGAAGGCATTATGAAGGCAAACACTTGTGACCATAAATAAGTAAATCTAAAAAAGATTTTATTTTTTTAAATCCCTGATGGAACCACCTGGTATAGTGACAGGAAGAAGTCAATAGCTGAAGTGGATACTCTGAAACTCAGCATTGCTAACAGCAAGTGTCTGCCCACTTTTCCTGTTTGCTCAGTGTGTTCTGCTGACTTTAATAGACTAATTAACATCTAGACTTCTTACTTGGTAAATACGCTAATATTAAAAATATACTGATATTCCATGTGACTGGGGAGAATAGTAATTTTGTCTCAAATTTAGCAGGAAATGGACACTTTAAAGATACCTTTTAAAAGAGTCATCTCTTTTTATTTTATGTCTGAGTGTTTGCTGGCCTGTATGTATGTGCACAGTGTAATGTGCCTGGTGCCCTCAGAAGCCAGAAGAGGAAAGCAGATCCTCTAGAAAGAGAGTTACAGATGGTTATGAGCTACCATGTCGGTGCTGGGAGCTAAGCCTGGTCTTCTGCAAGCTGACAAGTGGCTCTTCTGCACTGAGCTCCATCCCCCAAGCTGCATTTTGCTAACCAGTAATTATGTGAGTAAGCATGCAGGTATTGTGTGGCAGTGGAAGAGAAACATTCTTTATGTCCACAGTGACATATGATGCCCTTTGTTTCTCTAAGTGGCCTTAGCTGAGACATATGGAAGTGTTACATTTATCAAGCCAGTGTGGACAGTAAATGAACACCATAAGCTGCCGATTAGATGACAGTGAAACTAGTAGAAAATCGTGGAGAGTGCTTTTGATTCCTCTGCTTTTTGTTTCTTAGTTTCCTCTTCTGCACTTTTGGCAGATTTAACCAGGGAATTCCCATTAGGAATATCTTGGTCTTAAAGTTTCTTGTGTGGTGTATAATTGTGCAGGCATGACTCCACAACCTAAAATCGAGGCATTCTCTTGGCTTCTTGGTGCTTTGGGGGCAGTCGTCATATGAAGCATGCCATTTGCTCCTAGTTAGGTGGCCATGGGAAATGAAATAATTCTTTGTAGCCATCTGTTCCTAGTCTCGTGGAAGATGCTGGTTGTATTTCTCAGTTCAGTCTTATGCTGAAACAGACTGTAAATGGTGTTCTTAAAAGTTTATCTATCCTTGTGCGAAGTAAAAACTAGGTATTTATATTAGCAAATTTCGTGTGGTGTTTTCTATTCTCAAAAACTGTGAGTGATTTGTTCAAAAATCCCTACTTCCTACTCTTAATTCATAAATATATTAGTACTGATAGCCTGATGTTCCCCCAGGATCTCCAAACTGGATGTAGTAGTTGCTTCAAATATGTGAGTGCACATCTGTTCGCCAATGTCCTGAGGATGTTTTTATAGTGGATGAGTAGTTACTTTAAATTCTGCACCTTTGACAGTAGTATTAAATTAGGTACCTCAAGGACTATAATGGGCTCCCCCCCCCCCAAGACTTAATGTAAGCTTAAATATAAATGGTTACTTAAGTTACGGAAGAACTGATGGTTGGAAATATGAGGAATTAGGACTATCTCTTTGCAAAGCAAAATGATAGTTGATGCTGTCTGTTGGACAAGTTTCCATCTTAGTTTGCAGAAGTTTCCTTCCTGCTGTTCCTTTGCCTAAACCGCAGTAGACCTTCCAAGTAAGACCATACTCTTCCCTTGGGCCCTTCAAGTGTGAATTACTCTCACACTTGTTCTCATTAATACACTCAGTACATAGACGTTTGAGCTTAACACCAGTTTGCCACCACTACAGGGATATTCAGGGTCTCCCACCCTGTAAGGATTCTCAACCTGTGGTCGCGAGCCCTTGGGGGGGGGTGTCACATATTTCAGATATTTACAGTTCATATCAGTAGCAAAAATATAATTATGAAGTAGCAACAAAAATAACTTTATAGTTGGGGTCACTACAACATGAGGAACTATATTAAAGAGTCTCAGTATTAGGAAGCTTGAGAGCCACTGCTGTAGGGCCTAAGTCTGGGAAACCTCAGTAATGGGCAGGATAATGATGTAGGCTTTGTTGGCATACTGTCCTCATCAAGGCCGTTCAGTTCTGCCATTTTTGCCTGGTGATAATCATAGATGATACGCTGGTGAGCATGACTGTGTTCCAGCTAAGTTGTTTTTAAACACAGCAGCAGCTACTGGAGATGCAGTTCAGTGGCAGAGTGCTTACCTAGGATCCATCCTGAAGTGTCTTTTCTGTTCCAGGTGTGCTGTAAGTTTTGGTTATACAGTAATGAATGTGACACATGATCCTAGGCCACAGGATATTTACTTAAGTCTTAACTTTGTTTGAGTGCATTTGGACAGATTCAAGACAGTTTACGCACCTCACACACAGCCTAAAGGAAATTTTATCCAATATTCAGTTCATTGTTTTGTTTGGGCAACAGGGTCTTACTATGTAGTCCTAACTGCCTGGAACTGAAAAAGATCCTCCTGCCTCTGCTTTTTGAATGCTTAGATTAAAAATCATGCACCACCATGGCTAGCCTCCAAGGTAGTTCTTTAGATAAGGTGGAGAAGCCTGCCACTGCATGTGAGACCTTAGGCGAGTACAGTAGGTCCTGTGGTCTGTGGTGTAACTCACCGCAGCTCAGTGTGCTTTAGCCGTCAGCTTCTGTGTGTCAGGAAAATAGCCTACATGTGTGTGTGTTGTTATGCTCATTGTACACAATAAGCACTCAAGCCAAATAATACTGTTGAATAAAGTTGAAACACCAGTTTTCTTAGCTGTCCTTAGGTCAGTTTCTTATGGCTCCTTTTATATGGTATATTGTTTATGGTACATTATTTTGGTTTTCATCATAAAATGGGTTTTGTTTCCAGCCAAGGCTCACATTAAAAGCAGCCCACATACTAACCTTACTAGAAACACATAATGCTCTAGGTGTGGTGTCCGTGGCCTCCTGTTACTGACAGCTTGGTTTTTAATTGTCTTCCGTTTTCTCAATATGGCCTCTATCCTCAGAATGTCTAGTGTTGCTCCTGAGTCAGAGCCCCTGAGCACTTTTCACATGGGGAGTTTTCCTGTCTCCCTGTAAATACTTTGCTGTTTCTTTCCTCTTCCTGTGCATCCTGTGCGCTCTGAAGAGTTCTAATTCCATGTCGGACTTCCTTTGCTACCTTTGTTTTCTTCTAGGCACTGGTAGATTTGTTTCCAATTGAAACACTCTAGTTTTTCTTGGTGCTACCTTCTCTTTAAAGCAATTCCTGATTTTCATTTGAACTCTCATCAGATTTTGTGTGTCTCATAACATATGCCCCTCCCTCATTGGTGGCACTATGGCTTGAACTCAGAGCCCTAACACTAGACTATAATAAAACAGTGAACCACATCCCCAAACCATTTTCTGTGTTTCTTGTCTTTTCCTGCAAGGCTTCTTGGGGACAAGTATGTTGTTCCCCTTTATAATTAAGAAATATAAGATGAAGCAAATGCCTATCAAGATCGACTTCCTTTTATGCTATAGCCATCTTTTTCACATGTCATTGTTAGCACACTTTCCACGGAAGTATAACACCCAGTAAGTAGTAGTTGACTGTAGGGGGCACCCATTTAATGATCTATTTACATGTTAGATATATTCTGGTGGCTTTTCTAGGAAGTGTTGTTCCTCAGAATTCTTAGTTGGGAGCTGTCAGGTGATACTTCAGTCAAGTATGAAGCAACCAGAAAGTTCCCCTTCTTTCTCTCCATGGTGGCTTATTCATTGGCCATAGGCATACAGAAACTGTAAGTGCATAAGAGAATCTGTACCTACTCATTCCCTTGCCTGACTTGCCTTGTATGTGTTTCTTTTGTATCAGTCATAAAGTGACAAAGTTAATTTCACTCCTCACTAGCAGATATATGACTTAGAAAAAAACTAGCAGACAAAACCTTTGCAGATTATATCAGCAGATAAGACAAAGTTGGGACTAGAGAGAGCTCAGTGGTTAAAAGTACTTGTGGTTCTTGGAGAGGACTTGGGTCTAGTTCCTAGCATCCACGTGAAAGCTCGCAACTGTCTGTATGTAACTCTTGTTCCAGGGCACCAGGAACCCATGTGATGTGCATATACTCAGGCAAGCAAACATTCATACACATAAAATGATAAATCCTGAAGAAAAAGAAAAGGACTGAGAAGGACATAACTGCTCTTCAACATGTGCTCACACCTGGTAGCCTTGTCAGAAGCAGAATCGGCACTTAAATATACTGATCCAAGTGTCCTGACTTATACCTGTAGTCTTAGAGCGCTGGAGTGGTTAAGGCAATAATGAGGATCAGAACTTTAAGGCTAGGGTAGGCATGAGGCTCTGTAAGGGAGGAGAAAAGGTCTGGGTAATGGTGTTGAACATCTTTAATCTCAGCACTCGAGAGGCAGAGACAGT